ATATATATATATGAGACTGTTGGATATATTTCAAAAAATGTAGGCAAAGCAAGTTTAACTCAGGGAATAACAAGCATTTATTTCTTGTTCCAGCCAACACAGATGATAGATGATTTTGTGCTTGTCCACTTACAGGAAAATGTCTCCTTTTAAATGCCAAGCTAATTTAATTTCCTGTACCTAGTCACTGTGCCCAAAACTGTTTTTTATCTCTTTGAAGTAACAAAAACATTAGAATAGAATGAAAGTTCAAACTAGTCCCTTTTTATATAAATAGAGAGTAGTGATGTTTGGAATACAGATTCTCCCACTAGAAAAATAATAATTCATATTGAATCATATGAAAAACCCTCTGAAATATAGTTCAAATAATAGGAGCAATGGACTTTATGGAAGTTACCTTACACTTAATTGTAATTGCCACCCTCTTGGCAAATTTTTATCTTAATACCTATTTTTCATACAGTACGTTTGCTTGAGGATTATTTAAAAAGAAAAACCTTTCAGACAAAATCTAAATAATTTTTGAACCCACTAAGAAAATACCTGACAATCTCTCATGTCAAATATGTCTGGATAGCTTTTGTTCTGGATACATTTTTCTACTGAGTATACAGCAGGACAAAAGGAAATAGTTTTCTTTGTCATAAAAGGTGAGACTGGTAATAAGCATACAATGTACAGGTCTGTTGTTTAACTTTTATGAAAAAAACATTTAAATCTCAGAACTGAAAGAAACCACAAAATTATAAATCCCTACCTCACACCTGACACCTGCCAACTTCCTTCCCATGTCCTTGTGACACCTTTTCTCAGGGAATGAAAGATGTGCAGAAGGTGCAATAGCACAAGAACAGTTGATGGCAATGGAAAACAGAAAACTTTGCCATCCTTTCCTTTTATTATAGGAAAAAAGTTAGATCCCTTTCTCCTACCCAAAATCCATCATATCTGGAAGATCCATCTAACCCTGTTTCTAATATTGTTCATGTTGTCCAGAAATCGCAGAAGTTACTGAATTCAAGACCACTAATGGATAGATGGCCAGACTCCATTTCCTAAGAAAATTAGAGAAAATCTCCGGGAACTGGTTTGATTATGGCATTTAATCACTTTCACAAGAAGAAAGTACTAGATGATAGAGGTCTTGAATCTAGGAAAGGAAGATGTGATTTAAAATATATTAAAAGATTTAAAAAAAAATAAAAAAAAAAATAAAAAAACAAACTACCCAAAAAGATAATCAGAGGAAAAAGAATCAGAAGCGAAACAGCAAAATACAGTTCCAACAGGTTGCCATGACCATTCCTAAATTACTTCAGAAGATATGGATTTGCCTCCTCAGGATCATTCCAACTGCTTCAGTGAAATACAAGGAACTTGGGTCCAGAGAAGGTTCACTGGAAATAAAAACCAGGCCAAGAACAGCCTCAGTTCTTTTTATGGTCTTAAATGTTTTATAAATACATAAGGACTTCAATTTCCATCTTACATCTGCTTTTCTAATAATAAAAAGTTACACTGACTTAAAAAACGGAGCCAAAATGATTACAAAATAATACCTAGGCTGTAGGTCACCCTTGTTTAGGACAGCACACCTGTAATTCTGCTTGCCTAACACACAACAGCCCAGACTATGTGATGATACTACTCATTATGTAATAATTTACTATTCCCTCTCCAAAAGATTTCTCCATTTTTCCTTATCTATTTCTGGTTTGTTGGTTTTTGTTTCTTTCCTGTAGATGAACTGATGGAAGTGGTACATGCACGTAGCACTCCAGACCTCAGCAAAATAAAAAATAAAAAAATTACCTGTTTAAAATGAAAAGTGCAAATAATGCTACCTAAGCAAATAAACATGGTTGTGGTTTTATTTTTCAAACCAAAACCATTCAGTCAAGCTATGAATGTCAGTGTTTTAATAAAGTGTCAGAGCTAAGCATAGTGGTTTACAGGGAAATGATGAAACCTCAGAGCACAAAGTAACTACTCAGTGCCTAGAAGAAACAGATCACTACACACATTTTTCCTTCGGAAATTTCAGTCATTTTCCACTGTTGCCTTTGATACTAGCATTTATCTGGTTCAGAAGAGTCAGGTAGGTATACTCAGAGAGATGGATCACTGAACTCACAAAGTATGGAAATTCTCATTTTGGGATTCTTGCACTAAAAAGGGAGGTTTTTTTCAGCTGTTATCTTGCACACATAAAGCATACTAATTGAGAATTAGAAGTAAATCCAGTAAGTGCACCCAGTTATTCTTCCTTAGGCACAAGAAAGCTGCTTATTGTTCTGACTCAAGTCAGCATGAGATTTTGTTCATATTACTCAACCATTGCATTAGTGCTAACTTACCTGTTATATAACAAGGATACCTATTATATAAACAGAGCATTCAAGAGATTACACAACACAAAAGGCAAATCAGCACAAGGAGACCACTTATAATCACAGCATCTTAATGATTTCTAATGTAATGAAAAGTAGCTGAGGACTGAGAAGACCTCCCTTTGTAGGATTCTTTCCACTAGAAAACTGAGATCATGCTGAAAGCAGTTCATAGCAACAATTTCTCAAAAAATTGCTATACTTTCTTCTCCTAAATGAAATTAAACACTCTTGTTTTAATAAAAATAATTTATGCTTCTCCAGGAAGGTAGTAGTGCTTCAGGTAAGACAAATTACCTCATATCTTAAAACTTCTTCTAATAGCTACTTCAAACAAATATAAATCTGCCTATATAAGTACCTGCCCTATGATATACAATTATAAATGGCAAATTTGTATATTTTTCAGAGAAACTACAACAGATACCAAAAGTCGGTTCTATTAATCTATCAGCAAGTACACATTCTGTCATTTTAGTATCATCATCACTCGACTTTCAGAGGCTTACTAAAAAGAAAAATATTGTCATTGACAACAATATGACATTGTGTTCATCTACAAAGTATTATTTTCAAGATTGTTCTAATATCAATATATTAATATACAAGAGACACAAGCAGATCCCTAATGCATTTCTACAGAAGCCATCAAAATTTGCAGTGGAAATATATTTATGATTTACTCATCACCATCTCTCTGTGTTGGTATAGCTGTAGCTCTGTATCTTCTGCTACTTTGGCATTTAACAGGTGCTGAGAGCACAATAAACTACTGTGTAAACAGCCAAGAGCCACATAATGACCACACTCAGAACTTTGCTTTATCTTTCCTGTGCACTTCTCAGAAGACCTTTGAGTTCAGAGCACTGTAGACCAGTGCAGCTGCCATCAGTGTTATTTAGGCATGGGTGTAAGTGTCCAGAACTCTGACCTACTCTGACTTTCATGGTTATGCACAGAAAACATCATTAATTGTTTCCAGAAAATACCACCAAACATGGTATGTCTCATCTTGCAGTGTGTCCTACAAAAATCTTTTCCTGCTTACATCTAGTGCAGAAAACATTCCAGAACTAGTGCAAAAATTCAACCTAAGACACCTACAAAGCTCTCTTAAGTCTGTCCTGTTCCCAGCAGAATAATCAAGCTCACATTTTGTAATCATTCTGCAGAGAGGTTTGTTCACTCTCCAGTGTTCTCTGGGTGTGATCTCTGTATTAAAAACAAGTATTTTTTTAACACCTGTCCCCAGAACTCTGCTAAAGACAGAAAATCTGCAAGTTGATGTTATGATTTAAAGAAAAGTTGCAATACTTCATATTCAAAAATTGAATGCTTTTTAATTCACTGCATTCTGCCCTACAGCACTGCTTTATTACATGTTCCTCTATACTTTAGTTCATGTTCCTGCTCACATCTGGTGGGAATAAACAGAAAGAAAACTGTTGCTCTTCTTCATACATGTGGCCATACACAGTTATCACTGTCCATCCTTGGGTTTGGACTGTGATTTTTGACATTATGTCACATTTGACATGCCTGTTCATTTATTTTTTTCCTTGTGAATTGCTTGCTCTTGGTTTCAATATTCACACAGGGAAGAAGGGTTTAAAAGTACATCTCCCCTTACTCTGGTACCACATCTTCTCTCAGATAGGCTTTTCATTCTCTTGGAACAAATTCTCACTGGCAGAACACACTCTGGATCATCCATGGGACTGCTCCCAGACTTCATTTCCCAAATACCATTTTCAGTCTGGCATTTCACAGGACTGACTACTCTGTATTAGTTTAGATCCCTGAGGCATCCCCATAAATATCAGAGGCATGCTTATGTCCTGCCAGCTTTCTTGCAAGATGATTATGATTAACACCTCTTTCTCTTTTGCCTGTTTAACTCCTATGCCTACAGTCACTCTTCCTCAAAAATTTACAGGATTTGAGCTAGAGCATAACATTCAAATGAACACTAAGGTATATATGGAACATTCAATTACAGCATAACAAATCCAATCAATTGCACTGCAGGAACATGAATTACACTACTATGATTTATCTGTAAATAACTACTTTCTAATAAAAAAAAATAATTCATTCCTATTAGGAATAATACTTCATCTTCCAGGCTGCTATTTCTTGTCCACCAAGGCTCAATAATATTTTATCATCAGCCTAAAGGTCTGTTACAGCATGTTTTAGCTCAGGGTACACACAACAGCTTCATTATTTCTAGACACAAACAGCATATATCCAAGTCATTTTAAGACCTTTTTACAGTCTCACCCAATATAGTCAGGAATGCTCAGAAAGCTTATTTGTCCAGAACAAGTGATCAAGCTTTACATGACACATTATAAGAGTCTCGAATTAAAACACCCTTGTAACTCTGTACTGACTCATAGCACATTGAAATTGTCAATTTACAACTCTGGCAAGCTTCAGTGGACACTGCAAGTGCTTATAATTTCCAAAAAAACATTCCTGTAGCAAAGGAGGAAAATTCAACACAACCATGCTATAAGCACGTGACAGTCATGAAACCTGCGGTACCATAGGAATAAAGTACTATTTTGCAAGATGAAGAAAGGTGAATATTTAATAACTTACCCCTTCTGCCTTTTCTTCTGTGTTAGCCAGCATTTCCTGGAGGGCTCGTACTGACAGAGACTGCTCCAGCACAAAGGTGCAGATGGACAAATCAGGTGGAACATTCTAGGTAAAAGAGAGCCATGAGATCACATCAGTAACACATTTCCTGAGTGGCACTTTCCAGTGGCTCTATTTTTCCTCATTATCCATGGATCAGAAAGACCTAGTTCATCTCTGAGGCTATGAAATCCAGCCACATACTGGGCTGCAGCAGTTAAGTTTTAGCCAATAAAGGGAAGCAGGGCTCTGCTTAGCATGTGCAAGCTGATACCTGGGGTATCAGGTCCCCTCTAGAAAAGAAAGAAACTCTCAATAAAAGAAGAAATCAATGAATTTCATCAAGTTCAGCAGAGGGTTGCCATAATGTCAGGGCTAGTGCACACACCCTGTGTCTGTGGAGAGGAGGAGAGGGATCTTGCGATTCTCTTTAAAAATCTAACGTTGATTACAGGGGAATAGAGGCAGACTCTTCTTGGATGTGCTCCTTGAATGGAATGGGAGCAGCAATGCAAAGTGTACAAAGAAAATCAGAGAATAAAATTGGGAGTGGAAAGGCTCCTAAGCAAAGTAATGACAGGTCTGCTTAGACACTAGCACATGGAATGTATGTCCCAGACATTAGGCTCAGATTGTGAGGAAAACCAAATTCAGTCTTTAGGCTACTGGTAGTTAGCCAGACCTCATCCTTATCATGAAGGTTGAGATGAATTTTCAGAGCAGAAATACTGAACACCAAGTATCAAGGCCAAGCCAGCAGCCCCACAGCCTTGCACAGCGCTATACTTCACCACAAGCTGCTCTAACTGGGATGAAACTGAAGAATCTTCCAAAAATTATTATTTAACTTGTCATGCTTGAAAAAAATATCATTGAACTATCAAAAAGTTAGTTTTTCCAGACTATCATAAAAATTCATATAAAATTGAAAAAGGTTTGTAACAGCAATGTCTAAGTTACAAAGTAGCAAAGTAAAATTAGATTTTATGTGGGGATCTTTTCTTCTCTTAATAGAACATGCAACTCCTACACACCTTTACTTGCCTCCAGAAATTCCTTCATATTCCTTCTTTATTTTCTTTTCATGTTAGTTGCATATTTTAGTTTAGGAACACTTTTAATGACTGTTGGAATTCAGTTTTTTACACAAGGAATGCTTTTGCTGCTAAAGCTGTAAAATTGCACATATACTCAAATTGTACATTGTATACAAAGTGAAGAGGAAACTTCCAAGGTCAAATTGTGAAAGGTAGTTCCAAAATCTTTTTTTTTTTCCCAAAAAAATTAGTTTACTCAGAATACCTCACACTCTTACTAGCTTATTATATTGCTGTTCATCCCTACTAAATACAGAAATTTAGGTCTAATACATAATAGATCTTCCATTATTTTCCAATACTTATATTTCATTAATGAAAAATGAAATTAATGGAAAACTGTACTTCAAATTTAAGTTTTAGCCAGATGAGAAAGGCTTTAATAGCATCTTCTTTTGCTATGGGTTTTGACTGACTTATGGAATGATACTTTAGGCATGGAATATTTTTCAGCCAACTCCTTCAGTAAAATGTCTCTAATTATTTGTCAGTTTCTCATAGCTAGTCAGACACTACAACAGTCCTTTTCATGCTAAGACTAGGCCAACAAACAACCAAGTAGATTGTCTTCAGAACATCCTTGTAATGTGAGTACTATGGCAAGCCCTTATGTTACAAAGCAGGAAGAGAGCACTCAAAGACCTCAGGCTGCAAGGTGCTGCTGCTACTCAGTTAATGTAAGGGGAGTTTTCCAGCCTAGAAAGCCTCACAGCCTGACAGTGCAGCTCACCCTCCGTTCTGTCAGTGAAGGCTGACAAACAAGAGTACCAACAAAAGAGAAAAAATGCTCCATACACTGTGCTCAGAAATGGGCCAAGGCTACCTTTTCTGCTTTTCTGTCTGTAAGCAAAGTCTCCTTAACAATATTTCCATTGTTATTACTGTTATTTAAAGTAGCAGTTTTGCTAACAGAACATGTCTCACACATACAATTTTGGAGACATCAATTTTTTTACTATTGAACCTACCCCACAGGTAATATACTTTCCAATACCTAAAATCCTGCATCATTCCAGACACTGATCAAACCAACATAACTAGGACCCTTCTCTTTCATCCATTTCATTCTCCTTTATGTTCAAGACAGCCATGAGCACTTCCTTTCCTACCCATTAAAAATGAGATATGAAGTCCCAATGAACATTTTCTAGCTATTCTCACTGCAGGTGAGTAAGGCACACTTTTTACTTCTAGGGAGTGAAAAAGGAGAATTGTATGAAATAATTTTGAATTAATTAAGTGAAAGTACTGTGTTCTTACAGTCTAGCAAAATGTTAGAGCCAGGGTTTTTTTCATAAGGCAAAAGGAAGAGCATATTATCCCACTTCATCTTCGTTGCATGAATGCCTGGGTACTTGGTGGCCTTCAGGGAGAAATGTTTTTCCCTTAAAGGTTCAGGGAAGATGCACCTACCGATGCTTGCAGTGAGATGTGAATTAGACCTTTCTCTCTGGCAGTTCCTCACCCAGCTCTGCTCTACTGAAGATCCAACGAGCATGACTGCATCAATCCCAGCACATACAACATTCAAAGCATGGAAGAACATGGGACAGATGCAGACCTGCCAAGGTATTTACCTCAGTTACAGCTCTGCTCATCCCTACACACTTTATATCAGAGCTGATGCTTTTAACACTGAGGATTTAAAGATGAGGCTTTGGGCCTCAGACACAGACTGAAGGTTCCTCTCTTGAATAGCTCCCTCCAAAAATAATAAATCCAAGTAATTTTAAAACTCCCATTTAAGAATTTAAAATTCCCATTTAAAAATTATTCACAGTGCCTTCTCCATCTCTTCAAAGCATAAAATAAAAATGAGGAAAGAAAAACAAAGTCTTTGCCAGACCTCTGACTATCTACCTTATTGTGTCTCATATTATCTCACACACAGACAGATGATGGTGTATGAAAAATAAAGGTGTTCTATGGCAGCCTAACATTCTCTACAGAAAGATATCTTTATACAAAGTACATAGATTTTAGTACCCAATCTGGAGAACAACTGCATATTCTAGTGGCTGCAAGGAAAACCTGCAGGAATTAGTTTTCAACATCAGGCTTTTTTGAAGACAGGTGAAATGTGATGGCAGGTATTTATTTCAGTGACTGCTGTGCTAGACTATGAACACACCATTAAATAATTTTAAAGAAAATATTTTGCTACATGTCTAACAACCCACCAATGCACTTTTAATAAACACCAAAACTATCAGGTTTAACTAACAGTTAAATGGTAATAATACATCTCTATTTTGATAACAGAACACAAACTATAACCCCAAAAACTCATCATCTCAAAAGCAGAGGTCTCATCAGATATAAATAACCATATTGGCAATCTTCAACCTTCTTTTCCACCAATTTTCATCATATTTATATTTTCTGCAGTAACTTTTTAAATGAAGACATAGCAAATTAATTCATATTCCAAAGAGGGAGGCTGGTTTGTTTTGTGATAGAACATACAATGTTGGACAATCCAGGGAATCTGTATAACTTCAGTTCATATGATGAGTGGAAAAATCTGATAAGGAATGGCAGTATGCAATGCAATTTATTTTCAGCTCATTTCTGACACATTTGTAAAATCGTACTTTAGTGAGTTTGAATATAAAATATACTACTCAGAATAGTAGTAACTCCAGTTTATCTGAGTATTAATTAAAGCATTACTGATTTGGCTGCCAGTTCATATTTAGATTTGCCCTCTTGTCAATTTTTCTTCCTAGAAAATCTACTAAGTCATAATTACAGCCCTCTATGCAAGCAGTTTGATTTTTTAAAAGTTATTAAACAAATAAATAGAAATCGTATATTGCATTTCAAAAGGAGATTCAGTACACCTCTAGGAGAAAAACAATAAATTATTATTAAGTTTTTCTATTGTTCCTTCATCATGGCTTGTAAGACTCCAATCAGCAAAATTAAACAAGTTAAAATAAATGTAATGGTCATATGGAATTTTTAAGGCATATCCATTACTGAAGTAGTTACTGAATTATTTAGAAATTTGGTGGATTCCTTATTCTTCCTGTTATTTTAAACTACATTTATTGTGTACACTAGTTTTCTGTAGTAATATTTGCATATTAAACTACACTTTACTCTGTGGGAGGCAGATTTGCAAATTAGATAATCATACCCTTTATTAAAAAGGTGTTTTGAGTAAAGCTTTTGAAATATATGTAAAAATAACCCTTACTGTATTCCAACCCACAGGTGAATCATGGATACTGGATGTAATCATTATGCTCAATTTCATTTTCTAGAGAATTTCTGTTTACACATTCCAATGAAAGCAAGAGGCTGAGATGCAAAATTCTGTTTTTGTCATTACTCTAACAATCACACAGTGCTAACAAGCCACTGTAATGTACAACTTGCTCATATAATATGTTGCATATAATCTTGTGAATGTAAACTGAACATTATCTGCCTCTCATAAATAATTAGTACAAGACTGAAGGATAATAAATTGCATCAGCAAACAAAATTCTCTCAGAATAAGCAGCTTTATCTCAGTTTTACTTCTCTTCCTAGATATTTGCAAGCTTCTTAGTTATTTTCCTAAGCTCAGTTATTTTTGTTATTCTTCTAGCCAAATTCTCAATAAAGTGAACTTGCAGGTATTTAGTTTTTAAACATATACAGACTATTCACACTGCAGTGCCTAAACAAGCACCTAATTAAGCAGCCTGATGTAAAAAGTGAGATGTGGGTGTTCATAACTTTTTTTAATGCTAGCACATTTACTAGATGCCTACAGATGCCTAACTTTGAGAATCCAAGTAGGAGGATTTAGAAAATTAATTTTAGTACAGAATTTGAGCAAAATATCTGTAGTCCAATTTGTGGGAGTAGCCTGAAAGAAACTGAACTCATCAGCTATTTTCAAGTTACATTTCAATTTATACATCTCTGTCTTTCTGGCAGCCCTTTCTATTTAAATGAAATTCTGTCTGGTGACAG